GTACACAAGTATTAATTTTGAGTGATAATTTTTATAGCCATTGTCTGTCTTCTAGAGAAGACTCCATATTTCTACTGCAGACATCCCTGTTAAGGAAATGAATAGTCCGTATTTACTCAATTCATTTAAGCAATTGCCTTCTACAGAGCCCTATGTAACATTGTTTCTGAGATTGATGAATTAATAAATTGAGGGTTTTCAAAAGCATTGAGACCCTCTGTTGGAAATGACATCTCATATTGATGAGGAATGTGTGAAACACTTTTTTCTACAAATAAGATATTGAGATTTCAAAAAAACTAAGTAAGATGAGAACTATTTTAAAGGTATTTTTGATAACAAGAATTGATAAAATCTGGTATAGTTTTTCAGTGTGGCAACTCACATTTTGTTTTCCCAGGTATGTTTCCATTGTAGAAAACCTGGTCACGGAATTGCAGATTGCCCAGCCGCCCTTGAAAATCAAGATATGGGCACTGGAATATGTTACCGCTGCGGGTCCACAGAGCATGAAATAACCAAGTGTAAGGCTAAAGTAGACCCAGCTGTTGGTATGTTTTCCTTTCAGTTTTTTATTTTTTTTTTTTGGTTGGTGGGGAAAGTAGCCAATGAACAGCCGACTGGGTATTTTTGTTGTTGTTGACAGAATTTGTTATGAGTGTGCCACTTAATATTTTGAAATTGTGAGGTGAAATTTTAAGTTACATAAAAAATATTTTCTATTCACAGTATTTTAAAATAATGTGAATTATATGACTTATACATTATCAACTTAATAGGAACTGTTGATTCTTACAGGTGAATTTCCTTTTGCAAAATGTTTTGTTTGTGGGGAAATGGGACACCTGTCTAGATCTTGTCCTGATAATCCCAAAGGACTCTATGCTGATGGTGAGTACTGTTACCCTCATGTATCAAAAACAGTGAGTCGTCATGCAGAGTCGTGATTTAATTTTACACTCAATCGGTTCTTGAATAAGAAGCAAAACCTTGAGAATTTCATTATTTTTATCAAATGCTATCTATGTACTGGGCTTTTTGTACAATATGACTTGACACATTAATAAAACAAATCAGAAAAAACTAAGATATATATTTCAAACTGTATTTGCTTCAAGAACATCATTGGTGAGAGTATGTTATACATTTCAACTTTAGATTTAACAGAAGCAGAGGGATTATATCTTAAGTTAATGTAAGATTTTAAAAATAGTGTTGTGTATTAATCTTAACCCAGCATACCATTTTGGTAGAAGGGCTTGTATACACTATTCAATATTGTGGTCATTTTTGTTTCTGAACGTTTTTCTTAGCTAATTGCCCGGCATGGGATCATATAGCTTTTTAATCTTTAGCTCAGCTAATGTCTTAAGGTCCCTGCATTAAAGTCTGTGCTGTCTAAACCGTTAAGGGGGAGGTCGTTGTCAGTTAATACTATGGCTATTGCTGCCAGGTTCTATACACCTCTTGTGTCATGTTCTGGGGTCTCCGCTGGAGAAGTCCAGTGAGAAAGCATAGCTTTTGGAGTCAGTCAGTCTTGGGGTATAGCCCCAGCACCACCACTCACTAGCTGTGAGACTTTGACAAATTACTAAACTTCTCTGATTTCAGTTTCCTCACCTGTAAAATGGAGATAATAAAACTATATTTTATTGATTCTAAGATGCATGTTTTTTCACATTTTAATATCTCCAAAATCAGAACATATCTTATCATTGTTAGGTCCCACATAATTAACTGCTTTTTTTCCTTCTGAGAGGTATGTGAAATAATGACACATCTTATAATCAATGATTTCTTAGATTTGATAAATTATGGTATTTACCTAGAAGAATTGTTATAAGGATTAAAATATATTATTCAAATGCCTCTTCTATTTCACCGTGGCATATAAATCAGTAAAGAGGCCTGGGCCTGGAAAGTGCTCACAGGCGTTATTTCAGTTTTGAGCTTATAAAACTGATCACATAACATGACTATGACCAAAAATGGCTCTGGATGGTCAACCAAAATGACTAGATATAAAAAAAAAGTGCACCGAGGAGAGTAAGTCACACAGATGTGAGAATTCAGCCAGATTTGTATCCTATTGGGTCATTTTGTATCCTGTTGGGCCACTCAACATTATGAGCATGATCATGATAATGTTTGACCATTAAGTGAAAGACCCATTTTAGAAGCCACATGTGTTGTAATTCACAATCCTGGAATGTTGCTTCAAGTAGGCAGATGGGCATTTTTATTAGGATTAGGGTGCCTAGCAGGTGGAAGGCACAGAAACAAAAGTCATTTTCATTCCTTTTATAAATGCTTATCCCCATCTGACCTGTAGTGTAGAGCACTTTTATTTTTGGTGGGTCGTTGACTATCTGAGAATCTGACATATTCTTCAGAAAATTGCATCTGCATACAGCTTTTGTTGACAGGTCCAAGAGTTCACAGTCCCTTGACTGTCTAACCATGGTTAAGATCCAGGCTTCTGTGCAACGGCTCTTGGACAAATGCCTTCCACTTCCTCTCTCTTCTCTTCCCCACTTCTCCCCTGAAGGCCAGGTGTAAGAAGCAGGGGTGGCTACGATTTAGTGCTCTTTGAGATTAAAAGGAATGGAGAATGAATTATTGAAAGGAATAGTGGCACCTACCTATGTTCCTGGCTCCAGCTACCTTTACAGCTGAGAAGGATCTGAGGATCAAATAAGATATGAAAGTGCTTTGAGATGTTAAAAACCCCATGAAAGTATGAAATGTTATTCAGTGACTTTGTTCTTTTAATAGGTGGTGGTTGCAAACTTTGTGGCTCTGTGAAACATTTTAAGAAAGATTGCCCTGAAAGTCAGAATTCAGGTGAGATCCCTGGGCTTCCCATTAGGAAAGGGTGAGATTAGTATTCCTCTGTATTTTTGCTGCATTTTGTTATTAATAACTCATTGAGGTACTGCTGATTTTAAGGCAACTGTTTTCCTACTGCAGCAATGACTTAATCACTTCTTTGTCACCAGTAGACACAGTATTGAGTAACTGAGCATTAGCAACTATGCTCAGCTGGAAAAAAAAGTGACCAATAAGCCTTAGGGGACCCTGATTTTATAAAGCATCTTATTCATAAGCATTTATATTTGCTAACTGATGAATTAATTACATTAATAGAGCCAATTCTGTTACTTACAGAAAAGTATTGGTTCCCTAAGAGAAAATTAAAGATATGAAAATAACTTTCAATATTCTTACGATCAAGCGTCCTCATACATGCTTCGTGTGTACCTAAAGGATTCAGAGTTGATTGCAAAAACTGCCAAAAATATTAAAAATGTGTTATCCACATAGCATCTGGCTAGTTATTTTCTTCCTGATGAAATATTAGCCTTGTTCATCAAAACTTCATCAGTTTTCACAATAACCTGTGGCAGACTTTTGAGGAAGTGAAGACCATTGTTACATTAGTTTGCCTGGATTACGATGATGGTAATCCTGTGTGAAAGAAAGCAAGACAGTAGGATAGCCCAGTAGCCCAGTGCTTCTTAGGGAAAAAGCACATTTCTTTTTATTTCATGCAGTGACTGTACTGCACAAATAAGTCTGCCCATTCTTACTTCCTATCCCTAACATTTAAATTTGAAAACCAAGAGTTCTTGTTTACATTCTTGTCTAGAAGAAGATAGTCTTTACTACTTTGTAGGCAATGAGATTGAAATGATGAAGTGGAATTTGAATTCTCCCTCCTGGGAGGATTACCACTTCCCAAATGACAAGACTGACAAGCAGATGTTGTATAATTTCACAGGTGGAATCTTGTGCATTTAAAACTGATGCTTCATAAGTCTTGCTGTTTACAGACTCTTGGAATTCATTGACTCTATAATGATGAACTCTGGGAAAGAATGAAAGAGCTTTCTCATCAATTTGTGCATTGCAAAGTAGTTGCTGCATTTCCCTAATTGGGATGAGAAATTGCCTGTGGTACTCTGAAATCAAGGGTTATAATCAATTATAGAATTGCTCACTTTCCTCTAGTGATGGAGTCTTCCCTCCTTGTGATTATTCATGTCAAAACTAGTTCCCTTCCTAAAGCAATACCAATTTAAGTGGATGCATTTGATTACTATTTTTCTTATATTCTGACTTTTCTATTCCTTTTCAGATCAAATGGTCACAGTTGGTCGCTGGGCAAAGGGAATGAGTGCAGACTATGAAGAAATTCTGGATGCGCCTAAACCACAGAAACCCAAAACAAAGATACCTAAAATTGTTAATTTTTGATAAGACTAGCACTATTGTTAGTTACCACCTCATTGTTACTTTCTAAAGTGGGCCTACTTCACTAATTAGAGCTAGGCTCCCTTGGAGCTAAGCCCATATTGTAGGTATCAGTATGATCTAGGGGTGGTCAAAAACAGTTTTCTGCATTCTGTCCATCAAAGGGTACTTCTGCCAGTGTTTGGAGAAAATCACTGAAGAAAAAAGAATGAGATGATTAAATTGGATTTTCTAAAAGAACATATTTTTAACAGAACTTAGACATATCTAAGTGGTTATATACTAGATTGTAACAAACATCCTTTTTAAAGGCAAAATTATGTATAAATGTAAACCACCCCTAACAAAGGGTACTACTTATTTTTAGAAATGAAGTTTTGGTTATACTGTTTTCTTAGTGCAAAGTACCAATTTATTATTATAGTAGAAATTTATTTATAATTTGCCACAAAGTCTGTATTTTCAAAATATTGAATAAAAACACACTTGCTATTTGCTTATTTTTCTGAACACCTGATTCTGGATTGAACTAGCCATTGTTCATTAATATCCATGTAACAGTCCCTTTGGAAACATCTTTTATGAATCCTAGATGAGGGTAAACAGGAATTTTGTTAGTTTTTGTTTTGACATAAAGAGTTACAAATTATTAAAGTTAAAATGAAGGGTACCTCACCTTAACAGCAGCTCTTTTCTGCGCCCTTGATTTTGAAGAGAGAAATCCTAGCCAAAATTCAGTTTTCCTTATTTAACCAGAATGATGGCACATAACAGATTGTATATCAAACTTAATAGCATTTTGTTCACATGTTTTAGATGAGTCAGGGTGAGATGGAAGTATCACCATAATAGAGTTAGAACACTAATCAGAGACCCATTAGCTTCTTTGTTTGATTTGATGAATACATGCATACTTAATACATATATTTCACAAGGCTTAACGCTTCCATTGTACTGTATAATGGAATGACTCTAGTGGTTTGTGTGTTTCATTTGAAATTTTACCTGATTGAATCCATTTGTAACGAAAGGAAACAGCTGTGATTAGTTACTGATGCCTCAAAAGCAAAATATTTACCAAATAAGAAAAGAAACACTTTTCTCTGTTTTCATGTCTGCACAACTCAACAATTCTAGTCTTAATAGGAGCTGTTCTTTTATTTTCAGTATGAGAGGAAAACATGATGACAAAATACTGCTCAGCATCCCAGAGCTTAAGGAAATGAATGCCATTTAAAAGGAATTACACAAGCCATGCAGCTGGAGAAGGACAGTAATGCTGCCTTAGTCATTTAGTCTGAACACACCCAGATTTCTTTCACCTGTCCTTTCAGGAGCACAAGGCTCTGAAGTCCAAAGCCTGTCAGCTGCAAGTTAAATCTGATGCTTTTTGTACAGTCTTTGGTGCAGGGGTTTTAGTGTTTATTTTATGTTCCTTGGATTACTTTGTTTACATTTTAATGATCTATAAATTAGACAGTGAAATTATTAGGAAGAAGTTGCAGATACTAAATGTAACATTAAAAACGTGTATAGATACCGTGAAACAAATTCTGAGAGATCTTGGGTGATTGTATGTTTCTTGGAAGGCACTATAGATATTGGTTATTTAATTTATCTGTCCATTCATTACATATTTCCCAAGAACTCTTTTAGGCACTTGGAATTGTGGCACTTGGAATGTTTCTCAATAAGAGAAACAAGGCCACATGCATTAAATTGAGGCTGAAGAGTGCAGAAGAGACTTAGGAAATATATCAGAAAAGGCTGTTTTATTACATTCTTAAAATATTTTTTGAATCCCCTAAGACTTAGTTGTTAGTACTCTTCTTCCTTCAGTCTTTTGCAAATTTCATTTCTTCTTAGAAGCTTTCACTTTTCTGTGAATGACTTCTAATCTCCAGCTAGCTCTAATATTCCAGGGTTCAATCTCAGCTTCTCACCTGCCTGCTAGACAATCCTACTTAGAAGCTCCACTGACACCTCAAACTCAGTATGGCTTTAAACAATCTCATCACTTCCCCCTGGTGGGGGGCGGGGGGGGGCGGGGAATGACTAATTTCCCTTCTTGTCTCATGTTTTTTTGGCAACAATTATGTTCCAAGCCAATGGGCTTGAATCTCAAGTTGCTTTTTTCTTGACATCTCCCCCTTCTTGCCCCCATACCCAACTTTCCCTTAGAAATAAGCAGGTGTCTGCTTTATGACGTGTGAGCAAAGACCAGAAGGAAGTGAGGGGGTAAGCCCTGGATATCCTGAGGTGAAGGAAGAGATAAATGCAATTATATTGAGGAGGGAGCATGCCTGAAGTCAAAAAAACAGCAAAGAGGCCAAAATGGCTGGAAAAAAGTATGGGATCAACGAAAAGAAGATCAGATAGTTAACAAATGTCAGCAGTTAGTTTCTGCTGAGTAATGATCACAAGATCTCAGAGGCATACAATAATAAGCATTTATTTAGCTCATACCTGTGAGTCAGAAATCTAGACTGGGCCTACCTAGACAGCTCTGCGAATCTCCGTTGGACTTGTCCACATCCATCTGAAGTTTGGTTTGGGGTTGGCTGATCTAAGCTGGGCTCAGATGAAGCAGCTCTGTTCCACAAGTCTCTCTTCCTTTTCCTGGTATTGGGTGATCTAAGCTGGGCTCAAACAAAACAGTTTTCTTCTATACATCTCTTTTCCTTTTCCTGGGACCAGTAGCCTAACCCAGGCTTGTTTTTCTCATGGTAGTGGCAGAGATGTAAGAGGGCAAGTCCATTTGCAAAAACACTTTTCAAGCCTTTGGTTGCATAATGTCTGCTCACATTCTATGGTCAAGCCCAGAGACAAGAAGTAGAAAAGTACACTCCGTTCGTGGAGGAAGGGTGAGAGAATGAATATTCCTGAACAATTATCTAATGTACCACATGGACCCTTACAGACCACTGTGAGGCTTCAGCTTTTACTCTGTGATGTGCAAAATTGTTGATGAGTTTTGAGAAGAAATGTGACATGATCAGGTACTGGATTGAGAGTAGAATGAAGGGAGAAACAAGAACAGAAACAGGAAGATAGATTATAATACAGATGAGAGAAGATGTGCTTTGGATTGGGGTTGTAGTGGTGAAGTTGATTAGAAGTGGTCAGGTTCTGATTATATTTTTTACATAGAGCTGAGAGAATTTGTTGAAGGCAAGAGAATTTATGGAGGGAAAGATGGCAAAATGTTAGGTGGTCTGTTTTGGAAATGTTGACTTTGAGATGGCTATTGTCTCAATGGAAATATCAAGTAAGTTAGACACAAGTATGAATTCAAGAGAGGTTAAGCCTACAGAAAAAGATATGGGAGTTAAAGTAGTTAAAGTTTAAAAGTAGAAGGCTTTTAAAACCCAGATACTGGGTGGACTCACTGAGGAGTGGAGTTGGAGAAGAAGACAAGGACAGAGCCCTCAGGTAGTCTGATGGAGGCAGAAGAACCACAAGAGGAGGCTTTAAAAATGTGATCAGCAAGGTGGGAGGAAATCTAAGAGTTTGACTTCATAGAAGCCAAGAAGAGAAAATGTTGCAAAAAGAAGCAACAAGTCAACTTCACTGAAGGCTGCTCAGAGGCTAAATAAGTCAAGGACAGGGCCACTAGATTTGGCAATAGGGAGGACATAGGTTATCCTGCTGAGAGAGGTCTTTGTGGAATAGTGGAGGTAGATAAGTGTGGTTAGGTGAATAAATAAGGATGTGAAGACCACACCTATATAAAATTGAAATAGAGATGGGGTGGGATTTAGGAAATGACTCAAAGTGTCGTTTTGTTTTGTTATAAAATAAGAGACACCAGTGGTTATGGAGACAATCCAATGGTGGTAAAGGAACTCCTGAAGTAGAGAACAAAAAGAATTATAGGAGGGAAGTTCTGGAGAAGGTAGAGAAATGGTTCTTTGCTAGGGGTAGAGATATTTCACCCATTATAATAGGAGAGATGGCAAAGATGTGGAAGGTGCATAGATGGGAATATGAGAAGACCTCTGCCAAATGGTTTATATTTTCACAATTAAGTATTTTCTCAAGTTCATGAGCTGAGTCAGGGTAAGAGATATGAGAAGATCAGAGGAAGAAGAGGCAGTGTGAAATAACAAACATACAGGGAAATGGAACAGTATTATTAGCCTCCTAAATGCTCTTTTGAAATTTGTGGTCATAAATTTAAATTGAGACCAGTATACAATTTTCAGCTGCTCAGCACGGGGGTGAAATATTCTTTAACCACAGTTTAATAATTTAACTACAGTTGGGGTTTTGTCAGAGAAGTTGAATGAAAGGAGAGAGGTGTTGTGTTTTCCAGGGAGTGATTATAATGATGGACCATAGCATCTAAGCTGGACAAGGAAAGAAGAGAGGACATGGAAAGGGGGAATGGGTTGTATAAATGATAGAAATATTCTTTTCTAATCTATTTTTAAATGTCCAAAAAATACCACTAAATGAAAAGTGAAAGAGGCTATCAGGTGTGTAATTTTTGTATGGTACTTCATCCTTACAGTTATAAAGTGAGAATCAGAAAATGAGAAAGACATTTTTAATCTGAGATTTCCCTGAGTTTTGAAACTGGAGATGGGTTACTGTCAAGAATTATGAAGGGTCTGAGATTGTTAATAAGCTAATCAGTTAGCTTGTGGGTGTTGGCAGAAGACACGAGACTCTTGGTTTAGAGACAACTATATTATTAATACTTGATGACATGGCAAGCAGCATAAATATCAGTCCTACAGAGGTTGACAAAATGGGCCTAGTGGAATGCTGCAGACATCGTGGGTGTGTGTCACAACTGAGGGACCCAGGGCCCAGAATTTTTTGAGCAAGTAGCAAGTGCTGTAACAAGCAGTAAACAAGCCAGGCCCCCTCCATCCAAAGAGTGAGCAGTTACACTGAAGTCATGCCGTGGTCACCTTGGCCTATTTGGTTGTCTACAGAACTAGCTATAAAAATTGCTGTCAATCAGGAGACAGACAAGTCTTGCAGCACACTTACTGGCACACTCCACAAGAATGTGCAAGACCACTCAGGGCTCATGGTGAACTACCTGTCTCAATAGTTATATTACTTTCAAATATAAATCGTGAACAAAATAATTTTAATAATTTACTCTAAATCACAAAACATATTCCTTTACATATACCTTTTCAACATATATTTTCAAAACTACCACTATAACTATGCCAATAAAAATTTCCATGGTTATTTCTTAACTGTGAGATAAGAAATATGAACAAAACCACATGATGGTATGTATGAAAATATTCTAGTTTCTTTCAATGCTTATTAAAATTGTTCATCATTTTCTAAAGATGTTTGAGTATAGAGTAAACTATATTGTGATCAATTTTCACATTTCTTTCTCTAGATGTTCTCTAAAACAACGATAATAGAAACACTGAATGCAGATGAACAACTAGGTTGCATTAAAACCAGGAAGAATTAATAGGAATCAACTTCCTTTCTTAATCAAAAAGCTTTCAGTTCTGTTAGAAGCACTTGAAAACCCTTACCATCAAAAAAAGGCATGAAATCTTGAGTGTTCCTTAAGGACACATTGACACTCCAAAGGGAAAAATCAGCGTGACTACATCTTTCTAAGTTTCCTCTGTCCTTAGTCTCCAGAGGGCTGACGGCTGATGAACCAACCAGTTTAGTGGCTTACCCTGGGAGTAATAGCGTGAGCTTAAAGCCTAGGCACCAAAGAGAGTAGGGGAAGGTGGTCTTTATTTCAGCTGTCTTTAATTATCTCTCACTCTATTGCAGTCTCAACAGCTTCTCTGCTTCCTAGAAAGTGCCAGAAACACTCCCTCTCAGGGTCTTTGCCTTGGCTAGTCCTTCCGGAAGCATGCTGCATCCTCAGAGCTCACTCCCTCTCTGCCTTCAGGCTTTTGCTTAAATGTCTTTCCATGCAGCCTACCCTGACCACTCTACTTACAAATCAACCCTCACCGCCAAAACCTCTCCCATACTCATCATCTTTACTCTGCTTTATTTTGCCATATAAAATATCTTCGAATATTTCATATTATTTATTTATTTTATTTAGGATGTGATCAGTATGCTTTTTTGTTCCTTGCTGAACCCACAGTGCCTAGAAATGTCTAGCACAAAGTAAGCTCTCAGTAAATATTTATGCAGTGAATGAAAGAGTGATCAGACATATTCCCACTAAAATAGGAAATGCAAACTAAAGGATAATTGTCGAATTTACAACTGAAATGTCTTAGTTACTTGTGGGATTGTTTCAGACAATAGATTTCAAATTTTTTGAAATGTCCTAAGTAGAGCCTGAATGCATTGCTATCTTTTCCTCTCTGCACCCTTTTAATGTCTCTGAAGTCCAGTAGTCCTGAAAATGAGTGCTTCAGTTTAGGCTATGCCAAATGATTTGCGAAAGATGAGTCCTGTGTTTTTGTTCAGAAGCATAAAAGTGAAATCTTTTAGAGAGGGTAGAAGGGATTGTTTGGTACTAAGATAGGTGAAAATGGGAAAACAATGGGACCTGCCTGCACTATAAGCCTGGTACAAACTGAATAGACCAGCACTATTTAAAGAATCTTCTGTGATCGTGTAAACGTTCTATGTCTGTACTGTTCAATATGGTAGCCACTAACCACATGTGACTAATAATACTTGAAATGGGGCTAGTGTGGCAGAAGAACTGATTTTTAAGATTTATTTAATTTGAATTCATTTTGATTTAAATAGCTCATGAGGCTAGTGGCTACCATATTGGAGAATACAGGTATAGACTATGTTATAAATTGGAGTGGGCAACATTTTTATGTCTCAAAGTGATCCAGCTAAAGTCATTTGACTCTTTTAGCCTCACAATGTTTCTGTTCCTGTTCAGGAAAAAGTTTCAAAAAATACAAATTCAAAGACCTAGGCTAGGCAGACAGCATTTAGAGGTGTCTCAATTCTAGGCAAGGTCTGAAATTTTAGCATACAAAATTTTAGTTTAATGTAACTCCTTTATTACTAATTTTGTTTACCTTTTTTTTAGAGGTAAAAATATTCTCAAAAATCTGCTTCTGGAATATAATATATAATCATTTTAATCCACATATCTACTTTTCCTATTGTGTATAAATGTTAATTCATTAAATTGCAGAGCAGTCCATATAAATGAAAACCTGCTGACACAGGAAAAATAAAAATAATTATAACCAGGCTTAGACTGTGTGATTGGGTGGGGAGTGGGCAGGGGAGCAGAGGTAGAGATTTGGCAAACTGACAGCAGGATGTATCTAATCGGTTAAATGCTCTAGCCTCTAATGGAAAACTCCTTCGACTTTTAAAATTCGTCCTTCCAAGGAGGCTAACTTGACATGTTCTGGTCTGTCTTATGAGTTAAGACAAATCACAGAGTAGAATAATGAATGCTGAAGTCTAGGGAGTAGAGTGCTAATGTAATGATTATGAAAGAAGAACTCAGTCAATATTCTCTTTCTCTACAGTATCACATTTGCAGGCACTTTATGTGTGTGTATATAGCAATAGATACTAAATCAGTGAGCCACCTGGAATATATGTTAAATGACACTAGTAAAGTTGTTCCTATTAGTAAAATTGATTATATTCCATTATGTTTTAATGTCTTCCTAATTTAAAGCTCTAGAATATGTAATACTAGGTAATGTATCTTATCAGATGATCCTGACATACAGATACCGGCTGCACATGGAGCAATGCCACACGTTAATCAACTAGTCAACTTAGCAAATTGTCATTTCAGACTATAAAATTTTTTAAAATTTCAAGCAGAACACACATTTCATCTCTGTAAACTAAAACTGTTTATGATAATTTTAACTCAATTTGTGCCATTTTATAGAACCAGAAATATTACATACACAGGCAACTTTCAATTTTCTGTGCCCCTGGAAGAGGCAGAGCCTCAGATAACCTAAAATAGAATTTTAAAGCTCTTAAGTGTCCGGGCTAAGGGTCCTTGGAATTAAAAATGGGAATCTAAATTACAGGTAACTGAAAGTTGATCATTTAAAATGTGCTTGTAAACCTATCATCAATAGTATTCTCTATGTACTGTATACAAGAGGCTGCTGTTTCTTCAATGGATTTTGACCAGCCACCAATATTTCCAGCAAAGTACGGATGGATGCTAGCAGAAACACGGTTAAAGTAAGATACCTGTTTCAAAAAGAAAATGCAATATTTTAATTTCTTATTGACTTGGAGCTTTCTCAAGCAGGGATCTGAATCTTGTTAGTGTAGGCAAGGCTATGACCCTAATCTTCTGGGGACCCTTCTGGAATAGATGATGTGAAAGGGTGACTTTAGGATTCCCCTAGTGTGGACACAAATTATAGGATTACAATTAATTGAGACAACTGAGTAGATTAAGGGATTTTTCTGTATCTGATGAAGCCAATTAATCTGCAGGTGTTTCATCAAACTTACAGTGCATGAACTGCTGTCAATGGCGTGGATGAGAAATCCCGCACATATAATTTCACTCCTTTCATACTGTGGAGACGGTGGGACCGATGGCAAAATGACGGACTTCATTGCCACTGCGTAAGTGTTACTGAAAGGTAAGAAGGCATTTTCTAAGTTCTTGTGAGAAATGAAGAATAGCTGTTAAAAAATACATTCCTAGAGTTAATGCAATTTATTTATATAGGTAGAAGTGAAACTATGAAGACCCAGATCTTCTAGATAAGTGACCTGCATCAGAAAGCATTCTCCATGGCTACATTCAAAGTAGGAGACAGTAATAAGGGCCACAGGTGTTTTCTGCAAAGAATTACATATACGGTACTTTGTATAACTCCACAAAACTGGAGTCGACCTCCAAACTGAAGTTTTATTGGGCCCTAAAGAGTTTCAGCCTCCTTTTCTTTTTGAATAAAAAGACCATACCCATTGTTTAAAAAGAAACAAAGAGAAAAAACCCCAAACAACCTTCAAACAATAGAGAATCCCATAGGCTAGAAAATAAAAGTCTTCCTCCAGTCCATTTTAGCTCCAATCCCATTCACTACCCTAGAGGTGACCACTCTTCTTTACATTTTATTGTGTAGCCCTCCAGACCTTTTTATAAATGTATAACAATGACATTTATGTAAGCAAATTTACACATATAGATTTTTACATTAATAAGATCACTTTACAAATATTGGTCTACAATTGATTTTTCACCTAGCAATAAATCTCTGGAGGTGTTTCTGTATCACTGCCTCTCTAGCTACTTCATCCTTTTTGATGATGGCCCAGTACTCCGTAGTATAGATCTACCATATTTATAAGATGGAACTTCAGTTTATTTCTAATATATTTTTTTTTATTTCAGCATATTATGGGGGTACAGATGTTTAGGTTACGTATGTTGCCCTTGCCCCCCCTCCCCCAAGTCCGAGTTTCAAATACGTCCATCCTTCGGGTGGTGC